AACAACAAACACTATGAATATTTAGGGAGATATATCATTAATTTACACCTAGTGCACATTTTTGCCTGCAGGGGTTTCCATGGATGATTGAAAATCGTCTGCTGGTAAGCAAAGTAAGATTAACTGCATGAGAACCTGGTTGAGATTATAAAAAAGTCATCTTTTCTATACATTATGATTATTAAACCATTTTCTCTAAATTAAGATAAGTTATCAAGAAACCTTCTCTTGAAATGTTTAATTATTTACTCACTGGAGTACAGATATTCACGTCCTCTAGTGAGATAAAACTTTACTATAAAATTTAAAACTTAAATGCCCGTATTTCTGTAGAAATGTAGTGAGTTGAATGTCCAAATTACCAAGTTACATGACAACCACAGTCGATATAAAGTCGTGGTAGAAGGGAATTTATCAGAAGTACATTTTGACATTATTTAGCTTTCCTTAGGTCCAACCGAAAATTGATCACTTTTTAGGAAAGATATGTAATAGTCTTTTTGACGCAAGTTATCCATACATTCAGATTACAGACGTGTATTCAGATCGAGGATTTAGAATTTCTAAGACAGAGATATCATTTGTATTTAATGACATCAGCAAACAGAAAGAGACCTGCGACAAGTCTCTGGTGGGAATCCAGGAACACAAAGGTCAGGGGGAAAAGCCGTCCACGTGTGCTCAGTTTGGAAAAGTAACATGTATACAAGTAGCTTCCATAACATATCCGTTCATATCTGTCGCATATCTCTCACAGCTGGGAAATGAAATTGGTATTCCTGCTATTCCATACAGAGAATGCTGGTCAAGTCGCCGGATGAAGCACTTATGAATTTCTGTACTATCAGACTGTTGAAATGGGCACTGGGAAACTACAGCCCTCGTATATATACGATAGATTATGGAAAGCATTCAGGGAGGAGTGATGGGGTTTGAGTATGACAGCCTTACTATGAAGCCTTTAATAATGAGCACTAAGCTGCAAGGCTAATGCTAAAATGCACGATCGGAAAATAGAACGTGAAAGAACGTCACAACACGTCCTGTGACGAGTCAATGAAGCTTCAAAATCGTTTTAATATAATGTACTCAACCTGTGTGGACTTAAAGTTTTAGGTTAAAAATTTTCTTTATTAGAGAGTCGTGAGCTTAAAACATAAATAAAATTGGTTAATCAATAATGTGTAATATAATGTACTCAACCTGTGTAGACTTAAAGTTTTAGGTTAAACATAAATATAAAACATAAATAAAATTGGTTAATGAATTTAAAATTAAACTTCCTCTTATATGATTTCCTTGTTTGAACAAGCTGACTAAATATGAAAACATTTTAAAAAATTGACTGAATAACGTAAAATATAAACATATTGAGCTTTCGTTGAAATTTATTTGATATTATTGTCAAAGATAATAATTCAAAAAATATCCAACCAAGAATTAATTTCAAACTTAACTTAAAATTTTATGTTTGACATTTCCATATTTATAAATTTTTTAACTAAATTGAATTTTTGATGAATGTGAGATAATGCATAAAATGATTTCAATAATGAATCAATAGAAATTGATTTTTAAATTTCAGGTTTTTTTTCACGTCGTTTAAATCAAAACTTGTCTTATTATATAACTTCAAATTTTGAAACGTTTGTTTGTTTGTAATTAAGCACAAAGCTATACAAACCCGGATTCTAGCGTCGTAAGTCCGCAGACATACCGCTATGCCACTGGGGGGCATTTTGAAACGTACACAGAGTATATATATTTCCGGCCGCTAGCTTTATCGACCTATCGTTCAAAAAAAGTGTACATTTCTAGGTTTACTGACTTATCATACAAAGTGTGTGCAGTTTTTGCCCCAAGTTTACAGACTGATCGAAAAATAAGAACCTTACCTTCTCGGTGAGCAGGAATAACCCCACCTGTTCCCAGGAGCAAGATAGCCGCTCGCTTGTTTACCCTAAAATATACAGAAACAAGTTGCTGGTCATTCGTGGCAAACAGATTAGAAACAATAACAGTTATGGGTTTCGGGTCATTTTCATTAGGGTTAGCTTTGTAAGTCATACGTTTATGACAATTAGAACAGAAATTTTACATATAATTTTTGCCATTAGGTTTACCGACAAATGACGCTTTACATTGAGTGGATTAATTATTAATTTAATAATTAGATTACAACCATACATTCTTCAACATCTTGTAGCCTAACTGAAAATGTTTTTATCGTCATGACTTTCTTCACTCCAGTAGTTGTGTTACCCCGTAAAATGGCAACTGAGCAAGAAAAAACTCAATGCTTCGTTTGGCTTACAGAGACCAAGTCAGTGACTGTGATGCAGCGTAATTACAGACGCCAGTATTGGAAAGAAGTATGGGGGTATGTTAAGGATATCGTGTATCGCACACATATAGCAAACATCGCGGAGTTAAAGACCAGGATAATAGACGCCATCGCCACTGTAACTGTAGACATGTTGCAGCGAACGTGGACTGAAATCGAATATCGGTTAGACGTGTTGAGAGCCATTAATGATGCATACCAAGAAGTCTAATGACATGTCAATAAAAACTGTTTGAGTTGGGCTACAAGATGTTGAAAACTACATAGTTGTATTTCCTGAGTTATTTATTTATTTATTTTTATAATAGGAAATATAATTTTGGACCACCCTGTATTATAATTTCAAAATTTTTCGTAATTTTTTTTTCTCTTTGAATAGCGATTATAATTACAGTAAAGAAACATAAAACTGCGTTAGCTAACAAAACCTAAACCATGCACAAACACGTGCGAGTTGCAGATCAATGATATACAGGTTATAACCGTTTAAAGTTTCATATGGCTTTAGGCGTGGAAAGTGGTTAGGGTTAATTTTTATTAGATTCGCTCTTATAAGCTTCCATTTTGAAGTAGATTTAGAATTTTTTTTCCTAAAATTAGCACCACACTCGTTTTGTAAATAATCTAATTATTACCACTAAAAGCTGTAAACGACAATTTTTTTAATTCACCATTTTTTTGCTCAGTTTTCTAATAAATACTTCAAGGGTTCAACTCAGAAATTATTTGTGCTTTCAAAACAAGGACTTACTTATTGGTTGTTCCGGGTAACGTAGATAGAATAACACCAGAGTCGTCGGTGGCTCCATCTGCAGAATTATTTCAAAAAATGAGAGCAAACTGACATGCTATAGAATAGTGTGAAACATTATTTGACAAAAGTTGTGTGCGTGATTATATTCGCTTATAACTGGCGAACCTCTAGACTGATTCTCACCAAACCTGCCATTTACCCTTGAGACACCCTGAGGAGTTACATAGGGTCAGAGTTCAGTTACACAAGAAAGACACTAGCTGTAGCGACTTAGAGCAGCCACAGGTCGACAGGCTATAGAAGTGAGTGACTGACACAAGAAACACAAAATATTACTTAGAAAAATCTTGATTTCTTCAGTCTTTATTTAACATAGTATTTTTAGTATCACGAATAAAAAACATTTTTGAAAGAGTTTCCATTTATTTAATTTTCGTAGTGCATATTTCTGTAGAAAAGACGTTTTAATACAAGTAATAATCAACCTTATAACATAAAATTTATTTTTCGTTAATTAGACACTCGGTGTTTTGCTTTGAAGCTTCGTACTGTCAGTTAGGGCCCGGCATGGCCAGGTGGTTAGGGCGCTCGACTCGCAATGTGTGGGTCGCGGGTTCGAATCCCCCTCACATCAAACATGCTCGCCCTTTCAGCCGTGGGGCGTTATAATGTGACGGTCAATCCCACTATTCGTTGGTAAAAGAGTAGCCCAAGAGTTGGCGGTGGGTGGTGATGACTAGCCGCCTTCCCTCTCGTCTTACACTGCTAAATTAGGGACGGCTAGCGCAGATAGCCCTCGTGTAGCTTTCCGCGAAATCATTAGCAAACAAACTGTCAGTTACGATTTGTGTTTTAGTGGCACGTTCCTGAAGAAGCTTCCAAGCGAAATATTGAATGTTCGATCATAGAAAAAGAACAAATTGGGTATTATAAGGTCGACTATTAGTTGTATTAAAGTTTCCATTTATTATATAGTATTGGAAATATCTCACCCATGCTTTTTATTTTTTTATAGCCGAAATGTTAAACAGATATAGAAGTTCAACATGTCGTAGCAAATATCTTCAAATAATAGGTCTTAAACTTACTTAAAAACTTGTCTACGTTGGCGTAGTGGACTTGTAAAACTAAGTATTCTATTCCAGTATCGGGGCCTCCAACCTTGAATCCAACACCTACGCAAATGGGGAAAAAAAAAACTTTGATGTGCGAAACAAAATTTATTCAGAGTTTTATAGCATATAACATTAGAGGCCAGTTTACGATTCTAAGATTTCCCGGAACACTTAGTACCGTATTTTTCGGTGTATAAGACACACTTTTTTACCCCTAAATTTGATGTCAAAATCTGCTTGCGTCCTATACACCGAAGGTATGAATAATATATTTGTATATATATGATATAC